TTTGGGAGGAATACGTAGGTTACAGACGGCTACAATTTAAAATTTGTTAGATGTATACAGGATGTCCCACATAAGAGAAAATATACAAAGTTATATTATTTTTAATGGAACACCCTGTTTTTTATTTTAGAATTAAAAACTACATCAAAAATAATGTCAGTTAACTAAAGGTTCCCTATTACTATTATTATTAGTTTTCGATTTATTTGAATTTTTAAGGAAAAAAAGTCTCCCAGAAATTAATTGTTTACTCTTGTTTTAATAATTTTTAATGAACTAATTTTTTTTTTCTTATGTGGGACATCCTGTATACATCTAACAAATTTTAAATTGTAGCCGTCTGTAACCTACGTATTCCTCCCAAACGAATTTTTTATATTTTTGGTCGTTTTCCCATAAAGCCCCGTCCCGTTGAGCGTGAGCCACCCTGTATATATAAATTAGAATAGTATTGTTATAAAATAAATAAGTGTTCAAATAAATTATTAACAAATAAACTGTTGTTTAAAATAAACAAACGTAACATTATTTTACTAATTTCAATCTTAAAACTAAAGGTCTTACTCAATACAACAAGCTCCTTAGACTCTAATACAAATAGACACTAACACTAGTGTGTAAGCATTGCACTTTACTCTGCTTTACACTGATACTGGTTTCGGGAGTACCAAGGAGCATTGGTGATATTCCTCAGTATTTTGTTTTGAAATTGTTGTATAATCTGGCTGTTGCTTTCTTTGATGTACAGCCCCAAAACTTAATACCATAAGTCCATACAGGTTTCAGGATTTGCTTATAGTAGCAATTTATTGCATATAGAGTGGAATTTCGTCCCAGTATCTAATACATTTTTCTAAATTTGAACCCTAATTCTTCTCGTTTCTTTTTGACATGGGGTTTCAAGCGTAGCCCCGCGTCTGATGTTATTGGCTGTGTTGGCATAAGGTATCTGAGCATTATTCAGTTTAACTGGTACGTGTTGACCTCTCTTGTTAGTAAAATTTATGTGCACTGATTTTGTCTCGTTAAGGTTGATTCTCCATATTTTAGTCCATGTTTGTATCTGGTTAATGGTTGTTTGTAATGTAGCTTCCTCATGACTATTTATGACTGCTAAGATGGCTGTGTCATTAGCGAAAGTAGCTATAGTGTTATGCTCCAAATCAGGGATATCACTAGTGTATAAAAGGTATAGGACTAGTCCTATACTTCCCTATGGCACTCCCGCGTTCATTTCGCTGAGTTCGGAATAAGCTTCTTCCTGTTTTATTCTGACGACTCTGATATGTAAGAAATTAAAAGTTGTGAAAACTGTTTTGGCAGGCGATGTTTCATTTTGTACTTGAGTCTTTCATACCATACTTTGTTGAAAGCCTGTGCTACATCTACGAATAAGCAATAAACAGAGCTCTCTGATTGATCTGCTGCTGGTAAATGACAAAAATCTAGTCACCTCAATAAAATCCGAACCTTCAATAGGCTTGAGCGATCACGTAGTCATTACAGCAATCATTCAGTCAAACCTCAAAACTAGGAGTACTCCCAAAGTGCAAAAACGAATTTTTTGGAAAGCAAATTATGAAGCGACCAACAAAGAACTTTCCCAAAAGAGTACCCATCTACAAGTGGCAGAGGAAACAACACATACTGCTAACAGTCCTTACAAAACTTAAAAAACACTGCACAAAGTAGTAAATGACAATATTCCACTAGAAGTAATCAAGAAAAACCCTGGATCAATCAAACCCACTTTAAAGAAATTAATAAAAAAAACGGAACCTATGACATAGGTACAGGTCAACAAGAGCTGAGGAAGATTATGCTGCATACAGAAATCAGAACAATAAACTTAAAAACTCATTAGCTTTTTTAAATGAAACGTCATTTAAAAGAAAATTATGTGAAAAATGTAGTTGCCAGCAATCAATCAGCCGTAGCCACTAGGTTGCCTGGTGTGAACAAGAATGTTATTGTTAATAATTTGCACTTACCTGTTAAAAAAAAAAAAAAAAAAACTAAGTGTGAGACTACGGAACGTCTGCAACTTTGCAGATCTGCAAATATGGTCGCAACTTTACAGCTCTGCAAATCCTACTTGCTTCTGCAAATATCAGTTGCCAGTTGCAAAAGAGAAACATGGTATTACAGAAACGTGTTTTCACTTTTTGCGTCTGCAAATCATCTGTAACTTTGCAGGAGGTTAGAACATCCTACAAACTTGCAGATTGTCAATTTTTACTTTACTTTTTCTTTTTCTTTTTTAATAACTATGAAGTCTTCTGTTCCTTTTGATTGAATACAGTTCATGGTGTCAAATTATCGAGTTTTTAAACATAGTAATGGATTTGAGTTTAGTTTGTTGGAGGTAATAAACCACAATAAGTATTGCGAATTTGCAGATATTTTTTGCAATACGAAAACTTGATACTTAATAATAATATAATTCAGTAAATTAATTAATATACAGTGTGTCCCCGGATAGGTGAAACGACTCTTGAAAAAGGTACAAAATTCTCTATTTAATTTTTTGATTTTTTGGTTAAATACTAACTTTCAACATAATCTCAGTTTTGAGTAATCAAGGATGTCTTGGAAATTTTCAGAAAACCTATTTTACTCCAGAGTAAAGTGCCTTTTATGTTGCAGGTATGACCAAGTTATTAAGAAAAGTTGTTTAGACTATGTATATGGACCATCTAGGTCCATATACAAAATTTGAAAATCCTCAGCCTTTTATGACTTTTAATTTATTTTGTCAACATAAACGATCAAAGTTGGCCGACGATTTTTATATTTGGACACAGACGTATTTTTTGATTTCAAGCAACTTTTCTAAATAATTTTTTGACGTATCTGTTACCGAAGTTACTATCTTGACAAATAAAAAAAAACTAGTTGGCCACGGATATTAAAATTTGGTATATGGACCTACAACATACAAAAGGCACTTTACTGTGGAGAAAAATAGGTTTTCTGAACATTTTCAAGACATCCTTGATTTCTCAAAACTGAAATTATGTTGAAAATTAAACTTTCACCAAGCAGGGCTGAAAAATGAAAATTTAAATCGAGAATTTTGTACATTTTCCAAGAGTTGTGACAACTATTTGGGGATACACTGTATATTAATTATTTTATTATTATATATTAATTGACCAATAAATGTATGATTTTATTTTTAAAGATTTCAGCTAGAATGAGATAAGAGAGTAATTAATTTAAATACTGGCAACCACTATTTGCGGCTATTTTTTTCACAGGCAACCATATACTATCATGTTCAGCAAAAATTAAATTCCAATATAATATATATTTTTTCTGAAAAACAGGTTAGTGCAAATAATTAACAATAACATACCTGTTCACACCTGGCAACCTAGTGGCTGCGGCTGATTGAGAGCTGGCAACCATTTTTTTACATTTTTCATATAATTTTCTTTCAAATTGCATTTAATTCATTCAAAAAACATACTGCTGGAATTTACTAAAATAAATTAATTATTCTGAAAAAAACTCTGGATAAAAATAAGGGGTTAAGGGAGGGGGGGTTGATATATTTAAAAAAAAAAACGAAAAATATTATCAACTTGATTTTTAAAAAAAATGTGAAAAACGGGTTGAAATAAAAAAAATAAATTGAAATCAAACACCAAAAGCGATATCAACATGAAATTTTTTATAAAAATCAGGCTCTATAAAGGATCGAAGCCTATTAACTTTGAAATAAATCTGAATAAAAATTGGGGGATAAAGAGGGTTGAAATATTGAAAAAATCCTAACCCCAAAATGAAAAATGAAATTAACTTGAAATTTTTAGCAAAAACAAGCTCTATAAAGGGACAAAGCCTATTGATTTTGAAAAACAATCTGATTAAAAATGGGGGATTAAGGGTGGGTTGAAATTAAAAAAAAAAAAAAAATTGTAAAACAAACGAAAAGCGATATCAACATGAAATTTTTAGTAAAAACCAAGCACTATAAGAAGATGAAGCCTAGTGATTCTGAAAAAAATTTGGGGGGTTGAGGGGATTAAATTATTAAAAAAAAGCCTAACTAAAAAACGAAAAAGATAAAAACTTAAAATTTTTAACAAAAATTACTCTATAAGGGGGGAAAAACCCTTTGATACTGAAAAAAATTGAATAAAAATGAGGGGTTAAGGGGGGTTGAAATATTTCAAAAAAATATCAACTTGAAATTTTTAGCAAAAATAATTCAAGCTCTATAAGGGGACAAAGCCTATTGATTTAAAAAAAATTGTACAAAATGAGGGGGTTGAAATAAAAAATAATAATATAGCTGTTGGACTCACCATATTTTTGACAGCTGGCACCCCTATTTGCTGGCACTTTTACAAAGGCAATTGCATTCCATCATGTAAGGATAAAAATTAGCTTTAATTTGATAAATTATGATCATATAAATTGACCGAAATTATGTGTTTACACCTTGTTTACAAGAGGTTGTGGCCAAGTGAGAAACGATAACTCAAACTTTTTAAATAAGTTTAATTTCCTGACGGTAGCAGAATTTTATGTAAATAAAAATTTCCTAGATTTATTCGGTCATGTTGTGTGCTAAAATAAAAACATGACCGAATAAACCTAGGAAATTTTGATTTATATCAAACTTTTTAAGTTTTTTACAAATATCTCTCTTTGATATAATTTATATTTTACCTTCAAAACAACTAAATTGTTAGAAAAAAAAAACATTAGTAAATTTTAATTGAAAGTATTTGCAGACATATTTTGATAGACAACCTGGCAAAATCATATTTCTCTATCAATAATTATGTATAAGGCTAATCGGGCAATTCAAACATGTTTTAAGATAAAATAAGAAATTGAAAGATTACAGAAAATGAGCGGTGTTTTTTGCCTGTTTGTTAGGAAGTCTGGTACTTAAATGAAAAAATGTAATTGTTTATCAAATAACACTATATTTACATTAAACCAAATTTTAAAGGAAACTTTCTTTAAGATTTTTTTTTATATTATGCCTGATCCACAAAAAAAATGTTTCTAAAATAGGCCATGACCAATAAAGACAAACGAGTCATGTCCCTGTTAACTACTAATTGAATCCAAACAGTAATTAAAAAAAAAAAATTAGTAATTATTGTATGGTATGATATGCTTGTTTTTGGCCAAGGCCTACTTCACAAACATTTTTGGATCACTCCATAATATGACATAGTAGTGGAAATAATAAATATCAATATTTTAACAAGTTCAATGTTAACCGCACGAATCTGCATTCTAGCCATTTTTTGCTGTGTGCTTAAGGGTTGGATCTGCGTCGTCTGTAATATATTTGTTCATATATTAGTATTCTATTAGCAGAAGTGTTGAACTGTTTTAATTCGGTTTACCACATGGTGAAAGGAAAACATTACCTAACCTAAGTCCCTGTTTTAAATTTCTGCTTGTTGACTTTGAGAGTTATAAATAAAATGGTCAGCCACCAGGTAACTATTTGGTTTGGGCATTAGCAGTGAACCTGTTGAAGAAAAATAAATAATAAATTAGGTACTTCTTTATAATACAACTGATTTCTTAGAGTGAAAAAGTCCCATCATAGCATCCTGGAGAGCTCTTAGACAAGCTATATTAGACTTAAAACCTCCAGCTCTTTCTTGTTCAGTTTCAGATCGAACATGATTCAAGAAATTTTTCTCTATAACATCAATTTCATTTGGTGGTCTTGGGCCATCTGTAGGGAATTCTGGAGGGATGTATTTATATAAGGGACCATCATCTGTTGGTACAGGTAAAAATGTAGATTGGTTTTGACGGCCAAATTGGATACCTGTTGAAAATTGAGACACTTTTTGCGGAACTTTTTTGGACTCCTCTTCTTTGGCTTGTTGAGCTTGTTGTGCAAATGTGTCTACAATATTTTTGGCATCAGCATTAGAAAACATTAGTTCATCAATCAATGCTTCTTTTTCTCTAATTTTCTTTTTCTTAATTTCTACTTCTTCTATTTTAATTACCTTCTTCCTTTCTTCTTCCCTTTGTTTTTCTAACTCCAATAATTCTTCTAATTCATATTCTTCCCTACCCAGTTTACCTTTACTCTTTAAAATTTGTTCCTTATTATCCCGTTTATATTGGTCTATGCGTTTATTCGTGTTAAGCACATCTATATCATTTGTTAAATTATATATAATAGTCTCGACTTCTTCTAAGTAATCATTATAATCTTGTAAAGATGTAAAGTCTTCCTCCTTTTTGTTGAAGTCTCTTAAAACTCTTTTACGAATATCAACTTCTTTCTCAACACCAGCATCTTCAAATAATTGAACTCTAAAATTATTTCTTCTTAGAGGAATCCTGCACTCTGGACAGGAACCTGAACCTTTCAAAAATAGTAAATCTACACAGCTTTCACATAATCCATGACCACAAACATTAACCATCATTTTCATGGATGGATTTTGAAATTTTGATGTTCTGCATCGTGGACACACAAAATCTTCCATTTTTTAGAAAATATACAATTTTACAGCAATATTTATACGAACTTATAAAGTTTTTTCTTTGCCTAATGTATAGTTCGATAATACACAAAATACAAATTTGAAATTATTTGGGGTTATGAGTTATGACACATGACAGAGAGACACGTTAGGTTCTTTCCACAATCTGTGGTTCTTTCGTTCGCTGTCGGTGCAGTCACAGAACACTTATTCTGGTGCAGTGTCAACCAGTGTAAATTACACCAGTTACACCACCTTTATTTATCTAGTTTATTCCCTCCTTATTACTGATACACATGTTGAGTGTAATTCGCTCCTGATAGCTGGTGGAAAAAATATCCACCATCGCCGACAAGTAGGTTTAGTGGATTTTACACCGGGCCGAACGAAAGACGAAAGGTATGGTGTGCGTTGGTTTAGTTTATTCCTACACCACCAAAGAACCTATGATCATGATACAGGAACCGGCAGACCAAACGCAATGTAATTGGCCTTTTATGTGTCAAGTCCACAGGTCCAGTCCTGTCATAACTGTCAAAAATCAAAAATTCTGTAAAAGAAGAGGAGGTATTTAATGTTGTGGGTGTACGTTTGGAAGATTTGATTTTTATAATTATAATTAATGAAGAAACATTTAAATATTATTTGCCAAATGGAAGAATTTGAGTGGAATGTTGTTTACGAAGGTCAATTATTAGATGCAATGGTAGGACACAAACCCGTGGGTAGGTGAAATTTAAAATCTTGTCTTCTTCTATTAACGTCAATGTTTTTAGGTATAAACAAATATTTCCAAATGGCATTTATATGTGATAAGTTCACAGATAATATTCATAAAGATATAGATTCACAAAAAATTTGGGCCCACTTAGAAACCATGTACAATCTTGAAGCACTGGATGAATGTGAATCTATTCCATTTCCAAATAACGAAACCGAATTCAATTTGCCAGAATCCGAATTTGGTACTTTGATAATCAAGAAGGAAGAAGAGAAAAAAATACAGCAAATTAAAGGGTCAACTGACCCACCAAAAGTTATAAAGGAGATTAAGAAAGAAGAAAAAACTCCTGTAAAGAATCAGAAGGAAAGAAGAGATAGTAAAGAAGGAAAGGATAATAACAAAACTCCTATTGCTAAGAAAGAAATTAAAAAAGAATCAGAAAAAGTCAAATCAATTACTAAAGGTAGAAATTCTGTTTCTTCTTCAAATAATGACACCAAGGGAGGTAAAACCAAATTTGAGGAAACTCCCAAACCTGCTAAGAGACCTACTAGAGGAAGTTTAAAATCTAATGATGATTCTGGTTCTAGTGGAAAATCTAGTCCAGTAACAGTTACACCAGCTACAGCCAAGAGGAGACGCATTTGAAGATATATATATGAAATTGTATCAATATTTTATTGGAAAGTTTAGCTATCTCATATTTGTTTTAGAAAGTAATTTATATAATAAACCAAAGTGGAATACAGGGTATATAATGAAAGATTACATAATCAAAATTAACCAACATCAAAATTGATGGAGAATATTATTAGATTCAAGATTCAGATAGGATTCACCTAGAAGACTTTTCTACTCTGTATCTTTTTATTATGTACTATTCCTTCTATTTGTATTTTATAATTTTTGTTATGTAGAAAATAGATTGCCTATTTACCTATATTAGGTATTCTTTTTATAAAAAAAATGCAATTAAAACAAACTCTAAAATAGTTCATGATCCTAAGTTTGATTGTTTTTTATATTCTATTACCAAATTATTATTTAAGAACTGAGTTTTAGATTAAACATATCTGTTAAATTTAGATTTATGTTTTTTTGTTTGTATCATTATAGATACCTACCTAATTAATGTTTTAAAGTATGCAATACTTATAACTTATAAATAAATAAAAAGTGCCTCACCAAAGTAGAACATATTTTTTTTATTATAAAATCATGGTAAAAAATCTGATGTGTCCAATACATGACTTTTCTGTCTAGTTATTACAGGCTTTTTCCAGTTATTTTGTACAACATATAACATCACCCTCATAAATTTTTAGAGGACGAACTAAATACATTTTCCACACACATCTTACTCGAAATATTTTTTTATATATATCATTGCCAACGAAAATACTGAACAATTAAAATTTAGAATTTTCCTAAAATTTTTGCATTATGGTCCATTTTAGAGAAATGTATAGAACAAACATTATAAAAATTGATATCTCGAACAACTTTTATTTAAAAGTGACAGAATCAATTTTTATTTAAATTATTTTCTTAAAATTTCGAATTTTGCACTTTTTGTCAAATTTCTTGAATATGGACCATTTTAGGAAAATTGTGTATCTATCTGTAGGACAAAAATTATAGAGAATAACATCACAAGCAACTTTTATTTAAAGAATTTGCTTCTCCAAGCGTAAATAACATATATTCTATAAAGTAGAAAAACGATCCCCTTTTAAAGTACCTCCAGATACTCCGACTATGCCCAAAATCTATTGTACTTATTAGAGGATGGATTAAAGTTTAAAATTTGGTGTTTCTTCTTACTTCCCTCTATAAAAGGGAAGTATTGTAATCGTGAAAAAGTCACCTTCTGAGATTATTTCAGATTTTCACGTTTTAGGATCCCTAGATTACGAAACACGTGTTTCCCCATTCCGTCGGTTCTTTTCTGGCTCAAAACCAGTTATACGTCCAATTAGTTATATACAGGGTGAGCAGTTTAAAATAAAAATATTTTTAAAAGTCGGCACCCAGACTACACCAAATCCTTTGGATATCTACTGAATGTCCAGTCCATGGTAGATATCTATTTTATATCCATGAGATGTAATTTATAGATATGTAAATGTCCATAAATAATAGTAATTATATAGCAAATTATTAAAAAATTACGCCATTGTGGCTAATAGTACCGTTCAGATATTTAAAATTAATTTTTTAAAGGTGTAATTAATATCCCATGGACATCCACTAAATATATCAAAGTCTAGGCGCGAACGCAAACCATGGTGGATATCCACTAGATGCAATTTTTGATTTTGCTTACTACCCAGACAGCACACCAAATCCTTTGGATATCTACTGAACATCCCAATATCCACTGAATGTCCGGTCCATGGTAGATATCTATTTTATATCCATAAGATGTAATTTATATAGACATGCAAATGTCCATAAATAATAGTAATTATATAGCAAATTATTAAAAAATTACGCCATTGTGGCTAATAGTACCGTTCAGATATTTAAAATTAATTTTTTTAAGGTGTATTCAATATCCCATGAACATCCACTAAATATATCAAAGTCTAGGCGCGAACGCAAACCATCGTGGATATCCACTAGATGTTATTTGATTTTGCTTACTAAGTATAGATGGCGATACTACTTTCGCATCTACTCATGCTCGACCCGCCGTAATTGAGTTCGATCGAAATTTTTGTTCTAATCAGACTTCATTACAGACTGGAGTCGAGAATTTCCACTTATTGCTGAAGTTTCCTAATAAGGATAACTTTCTCCTTAGTGTGCAAAATCAAAGGCAGAGTGTTGAAAATATTTTGAGTGTTGAAAATATTTTTTATCTCTGCTATTTTCTTTCGACTTTATTCAATAATCATTGGTTACTTATGAACCTCTAAAGATACCTATAAAATATTTTGTTGAATATCCGAATTTTTCTATATCCTGGGATATAGACGGACATTTGGCTGGATATCCATATTGGATATCCACAGAATATATTCTTTGGATATCTCTGGGATTTCTTGTATATTCTGGAAGATACTCATTAGATATTATGCTGGATATACATATTAGATCCACGGAATATTTCTGATATCCTGTGGATATATTGGATATCCACAAAAGATATTCTGTCGATATCTCTGGGATTTGGTGAGTTGTCTGGGTTGTTACGACTCTAAGCCACGCCCAGAGCGACATTTTATCTGTGCGAAATAATACTTAAAGCGCCTCTTTATAATATTACCCATGGAGGAAGGATATTACCTCAATAGTAGCTACAATTCCAATTTTCAAGTTCTTATTTTTAAAAAACCGAAAGTCTCATACAAACTTTCACCTCCCGTCTCCCACCTCAATACGTAAAAAACCGAAAACCCTGAAACATGTCTATTTAAAAAAATCGATACCCCCATACAAACTCCATTCCCCTTGCCCTTTTAGGTTCACTCGTGTTATTAAATAACAGAATTTTTTTACTGTGGTAGTAAAACCCGTAAAACCATAATTGTTGTGTATATTTGGTTTGGTAGACAGATCCAGTGTCCAGTAGTCAGCGACATCTATTGACAAGAAATTAAAAGTTGAATAAATTTTCTTACTCGGAAAATGACAGTAGTGGAACAAAATAGATTTCCCGTCTCGGTGAGTTTTCAAGTTTGAACTGAAAATCCAGGAGAAGGAGCTCCAAGTTTCCAGTCGGAGTCGTGCTCTGCACGAAGAATATTAGGAGAAAATCGAGATCAGCCGATGTTGGCTAGCTGTCATTTACATTGTATTTTCAACAGTCGTTTCCAATAAATTGTAACATCCCTATTGTGGTCCCTATGTAGGTTTTTAAAGTGAATATTTTTGTTGTGGTGTGGTAAAAATCATTCCTCGAAAGCGAGGTATTTAAAAGAGAGTGTCGGGTGCCATGTTTACGGGGACTGTTCGTATAAAATTATGCGAGGCCCAGGGCCTGAGACCGACGGATTGTTCTATGCGTTATACTTTCGGGAAACCCGATGAACAGCTCCTGGACCCGTATGTAACAATCGATGTCGATGACACCCATGTGGCCCAATCTACCAGTAAACAGAAGACTTTTGACCCCGTTTGGAATGAATACTTTGAGCACCAGGTGGAGAACGCCAAGGCGCTGACCCTGACGGTGTTTCATGACGCCGCGATTCCTCCTGACGTCTTCGTGGCGAACGTCTGCATTCCTTTCGAGGATCTGTTAAGCAGGGAGAGAGATGAATCTGATTTTTGGGTGTGTTATTCCACATTTCTTTTTAAATATTTAATGTCAAATTAGACACACACCTTGTCAGTATTTATTAAATGTCAACATAAATAAAAAATCACTGTGGGTGTTCACTTTTAATATTCAATACAATTTTAAATATTTATAACTACTTTTCAACCCAGAATAAAAATTAGTATAGGTAGTAGTTCATAAGTTTATTGTACTTACTTAACAATTTCACAATTACATTACTTTCTTCATACTTTTGGCAATATAGAATAGAAACAATACCTACCTTCCTACAACTAAAAAGCATGTTTTAGTTAAATTTATAAATTAAGAAATAAGTATTTGCTGGAATAATAAAAAAATCAATAACCTTTTTATCTTATACTTAATTCATTCAGTTTTAATTGTTTTTGACAATAATACATTCCTAAGTTTATTCTTAAGGGTTCTGAAATATACAACAATTCAAAATAGAATACCTACATGTTTCCATAGTCAATAACAGGTAGGGGTAATCTTGTAGTTGAAGGGTCTGGAAATTCGCCTGTCAGCACTATTCCTGTTACTGCTAGTTCTGACAGTTGGAATTGTTACATATAGTTGCCAGATTATATTTAATTATTTGGAACCAGAAATAAGCATATTGAAATAACTGTTTTACTTTTAATTATCTATTTACCAATTTTGAAATCCCATAAAAATAAAAAAATGTTCTGAAGATTTTCAAGTAATAGGATCATTATTTTTAATGTCAATAATACCTTTCAATAGAGATAATTACAAAATTCAAATTTGTCAAATTCAAATTCTAGACATCAGTGCAGAGCGATGTGAATATATGCACATTTCTAGACCTGTCAACTACAAAATTACCCAGGTAGGTATTTAGCAAATGTTTACTCAGTCTTATTATTGTTCATCACTACAGATGGCCCCTACATTCAATTACCGGCCCAGGACCCAAGATCAGAGTCGCTCCACCCCCTTTTTTACAGTATTCTGTTACATTATAATTATTGCATGGTTATTTCGTATCCATACTCTTTTTAGAATGTAATTTAAAATGAAAATACAGGGTATGGTAACTATTTTATGAGTCTAAACTATGCTTTATTATTATTATTTTACTTAAAAATGACCACAGCAAATATGTTTATTCAACACACTATGGGCTGATTATTTCACCTCTGAGTAAAGTTACAAGTATAGCAGGGGCAGAAGTTAGAAAGGCTTTTGGCAGGTAGAGAGGGGGTAAACGTCAAACCACATCAGTCGGCTTCCATAATTTGGCAGTAATGTTTACCTGCCAGTGTTGTTTAATAGAATAAGTAATTTTAAATTGTTACTAATGGAACCGGACAATATCATGTATTTATGGACTATAAATAATTATTAAACATGTATTATAATATCCAAATCATAATTCTACAAAATTTCAACAGCTATTTACAATTTATTAAAACTATTAGTGTGAGTGAAAGTATGACAATTAAAGCTGCTGTCCCACAAGGTACAGTGTTAGGTCCCATTTTGTTTATTCTATACATTCATTACTCTCTTTGGACATAAATGGTGCAGATGACACTGTCATATTGTTCAGAGGTGATACTTGGGCCGATGTAGAAAGTATTGTTAAACTAGACATGTCCACTGTTAAGAAATGGTTTGACAAATATCCAAATATATCACTTTTTCAAAAACTAATGTAAATCGTCCACTCTTTAATTCAATAAAAATTCGAAAATATTAATGAAAATATCTTGGAAACTAATTACATAAAGTACCTAGGCATAATGATTGATCAAAACCTGAAATGGGAAGAACATATTAACTACTTAACAAAAAGAGTTAGATAATTAATGTATAAATTTTATCAACTTCGTGATATTCTTAATAAGAATCTTTTAATTTTAATATACAAATCTCTTGTTGAGTCACTACTACGATACGTCATCTTAGTATGGGGTGGTCTTTATTCAAATAACTTAAAGTATTATACAAAATTATGTATTAAAAGTGATCCTAAAGAAAGACAGAACATACTCAACTAGATGTCTATATAGTTCAGAAATTTTTAATGTCAGGTCACTGTATTTTCATTCGCTATGCTTATTTACAGGGAAAAAAAAAGAAACAGCAAAATATGTTGTGCATGAAGTTACTACTAGAAGTGTTTCAAATAAGTTATTATGGACTCCACAAATTAACTTTAATAGCAGTAAATGATTTGCTACGTTTTTTGGGCCCAAATGTTTTAATCTGTTGAGTAACCACATAAAAAATATCAAAAATTATAAAAATTTCTCAAAATTAAGTAAAACCCTCGGTAAAACCTTCATACATGAAAACTACCTAGTTTTCATGAACCTATTTATAAATATTTAATAGGAGCAAATTTTCATCCTCTTTGTTTTTATATTTTCATGTATTAATTTATTGAATAATATTTATTGTATAATGCACAAAACAAGTGTTCACTCACTTAATGTGCATTACCTATATCTTATGAAATTCACATACCAACGTTTCAATGTTCAATCTTTTTTGAATTTTTATGTACTGCTACTAAACTGTAAGCTTCTTCTTAATTTGTTTCATTAAAATTTTATTTTTTTTTCTATTTTGATTAATTTGTACAAAATCTATAGTTAAGAACTAGTTTAATTTTATACTTTTTATTTACAAACATTTAGAATATTATAAATAATATGAATTAATTAATTAATATGAAATAATTTAGTATGTACTAACATATAATAATGTCATAATATTGCATTTGTACTAACTACTTAAATTTACTCGAAATTGTTATTAACATCTATAAAATAATTTTGTATGCCAATGTATCGTGACCACTTCAATTAGATCCGCCGCAAACCTGTCTATTTATGTGTATAAAGTGGGAGAACTGGCAAAAGCCTTTCCAACTTCTGCATCTGAAATGGAATCCATAGGTGGCAGCAAATTATTTAATAGTTGGAGAGCCCTCTGCAAATTTCGAATTTCATCTGATAACGAAATGAAATATGCTCCAAGGGCATGTTACAACATTGTATTTTACCAAATAGCACCTGTGTCAATCACTAGTCTGAGCAAAGTGGTTAAAATAATTTATTTCATGTACAAAAAAAATCACAAAAAACATGATGGCAATAATTTTGTTTGCCTTAAAAATTATAATCCCAATTTATTGTGAATCTAGCTTTTAAACTGGAATAATTATTATTTAGACCTACCTTTTAAACCATTTGTGTCTGTGAAGGGAAGAAGGATGCCATTGGATAAACCATTTGCCACAGATAGTCAATAATTATTATTAACTCTTATTAAGCAATTCTTTTAAACCATAATCATAGTAATTAGCAGGGGGGGATATCGCGCATGGTGTCATGGCGGCGCTGACGTCATGCGTAGAGTTAGTAGAGCTGGCGCGAAATAAATATCATATGACAGACGCATGTTGCAGTAGTTTGTGAGTCATTTATAGTGATTTATAAGATAATGAACAGATATTTGTATTATATTGTGTTGTAAAATTTGTTCTCTGTGAGTGGCTTTAATGAAAAACATTGAAAAATTGCGGTACGGATGTAATAGTAACAATTAAAGGAAAGGATTCAAGAAAGATATGGTTTTTCGCTTTCCTCGACAGTAAGAGCTTAGTCAGAAGTAAGAAGTGACCCAAGGGCGGCTCCAGCAGAGTCCCAGGGGAGCATGCCATTCCCTAGATTAAAATTCTTAAAATCCATGAGCCTTTTATTAAAAAAATATGCTAAATAGGCAATTCTACCATCCTTCCCAAGAAAATTCGGCATGAAGCAGCCTTTTCAGTGGCTTGTGACCCGCAGATAAATTTTCATATGTATTCCAAGCACTTTCAACCTTCCAATTATAAGAGAGATCTTAAATCAGAACTTCACATAATGTGAAGTTGTGAATGAACCAGTGTGAATCACATTGGTTAATTCACAACTTGGGACTTCTAAACTGGAGACTCTACCCTTTGAAGGCTAAAAATTTCTCAATATAAGAAAAATAAAATTGTAAATGTCACAAAAAAAAAATTTCGACTTGTATTTCATGAATGATTTAACAACTGTCAGCGACTAGGTCCAGGAAAAATGCAGCGACATTTTATTTTATTTTTGTATTGTAACAGTTATTAACCGACTTCAAAAAAGGAGGAGGTTATCAATTCGTCGCGATATTTTTTTTTTTTTTTTTTATGTATGTTCAGCGATAATTCTTTAACACGGTATCCGATTTCAATAATTCTTTTTTTGTTAGAAAGAGGGTACTTCAGGGGTGGTCCCATATAAATTTTGTCAAAATATAATAATTGGGTCCGTGAGAAAATCCTCAAATTCTTCATTTTTTATGTGTGTTTAGCGATAATGCTCTACCACCTTGTCAGATTTATATGATTCTTTTTTTGTTAGTAAGGAGATACCTCAGGGGTGGTCCCACATAAATTTGGTTAAGATGTGGTGACGGCATCTGCACGTTTTTGAAGTCGGTTTTTTTAAATTTTTAATTTCTAATACTTGTAAACAAACATACTAGACATGATTTTAAATTGTCACTATAATACTAAAAAAAAATTGCCGACTTCTGGATTCATCGGAAACGCCATTATTTGTATTTGGTACATTTTTTTATGTTTTGCATTATATGAATTTCTGCATTATATTATGGGAATTTTTTTTCTAATACTTATTTTTATTCAATTGGGTAAAATAATGCAGGTAAATGAGTTGCAAATCCTAGTCAGGTAAAAATTTCCGGCATATCCAGATGTGAAATTGTTACCAGGATCCCCAGTTTCGAGTTGTAAAGATACTCTTTATTTTATTATCCTGGTTATAAAAACTATTCTTTAGAAGTCGAATTTGTATAAACATAATAAATCATTAAAAAAAAAAGGTAAAAACTTTTCAAAAAAATTTCTTTTATGTATGTATTTGCATTTATGTTCCTTCATAGTTCTTTCCTTAACTATCCCATAATAATATCCA